TGCCTGTCACTATGCCGGGGCTCTGCCGTATTCAGGTAGAGATGAACCAAACAAACTCCCAGTTTGTGTTAAACAATGTAATTAAAGCAGCACCTACTTTTTGGCTGTTTTAATAGTCCAAAACATAAAACATAAAGATAGCACTCAACCACAGATTATAAAACAAAACTGACAGCAAAATCTGTTGCAGGTTCAAGATAACACCGTAGTCAAAAGGTCCAGTCCAGTCGTCAAACACTGAGAGTTCAATGAGCAAAGTCCAGGGATCAAGAGTCTATACCAGGGGTAGGGAACCTTTGGCCCTCCAGCTGTGGTGGACTTCAACTCCCACAATTCCTTGAGGCTCGGCATTGGGCCAAGGTAAGCCTTTGGGGCGAATGCCGAGCCTCAAGGAATTGTGGGAGTTGAAGTCCACCACAGCTGGAGGGCCAAAGGTTCCCTACCCCTGGTCTATACAGTAGTCAAAAGCCAGTCCAAAGATTCAAGGTTCCAGGATTCCAAGGGTTCAAGAGAAAGGTAAGGATACCGAAAATCCACAAACCTGGGGGGAAAGCAGCAGCAACTACCACCAAAATAAGATAAGTCTCAAGGCTAGCTCATTATATCCAAAAACACTCAGCTGCAGCCTATCTCTTGCATACCTACACCCTTAATTGCTTTCACCCATGAACTCTTACTTACAGATTACTCAACCCTTTAGAACTGAGACTTACATTAACCCATCACCAACTGCTAGGCCTACCGCCACCAATAACCAACAACTGCAGAACTTGATACATGAAACTGCCTGCCTGCCTGCGCCATGGTCCATGGTGCCCAGTGAGGAGAACCAGCTGGTCCCCAAAGAGGTGAGAGGGCCCTCACCCTCCTGACCCTGTCCCCTCTGCCTCCATTGTCATGATGCCAGGGCTCTGCCGTTATTCAGACAGAGGTGAATCAAACAAACACCCAGTTTGTGTCAAACAGTTTAATTAAAACAGCACTTGCTTTCTGGTTGTTTTAATTGTCCAAAGATGGAGTGTGGAAGGGGGTTTCACCCTCCCCCTTGGGAGATGTCACGATGTCAGGGCTCTGCTGTATTCAGGTAGAGATGAACCAGACCAGCTGGTTCTCCTCGTTGAGCACCAAAGCCCGTAGCACAGGCAGGCAGGCCAGGAGGTGGGGGCGAGGGAGGGAGAGCTCGTGGCAGCAACAGCAAGCCTCGGCCAGGCAGGCGTGTTCTTTCCCTTCCTCCTTGCCTGTTCAAGGAATCGCCAGAGCAGAAAGGAGGCGGCGGCATGCTTCCCTTGTTCTCAGTGGCGGCCTCCTTTCCTCCTCCTCTTTCCCCAATAAATTCATATTTACAGTGTTCCCTCACTTATCACAGGGGTTACGTTCCAGGACCTACCGCAATAAGAGAAAAACCACAATGTAGAGGTGCTATATTTATTTTAATACTAGCTTTACCCGCCACGCGTTGCTGTGGCCAGCCTTCTCTCCCTCTTTCTCTGCTTCTTTCACTCCTTCCTTCATTCCGTTTTCTTCTTTCCTTTCTTCCTTCTCTACCTGTTTACTTCCTTCCTTAGCTGTTTGCTTTCATCCTTCCTTCTCCTTATTTCTTTCCTTCCCTGCGTCTTTCTCTCCTTCTTTCTCTTTTTCCTTTGCTGCGTCTTTCCTCCCTTCCCTTTTTTTTTCTTTCCTTCTCTCCTCCTTCCTTCTGTACCTCTTTCCTTCCTCCTCCCTTTTTCTTTTCCTTCCTCTTTGTCTCCTTTCTTCCCTCTCTTTCTCTTTCCTTCCTTCCTTCGCTCTGAAGGGGCGTGACCTGGAGGAGGAGGGGCAGGAGGGAAGGATTGCATCAGTGCGGGTAGGGGCGGGGCGGCGGAGGGTGGGGGAGTGGTTGTGTTGGAGGGGGCATGGCTGGGGGAGGAGGAGGAGGCGTAGGAGGGAAGGATGGCATATGGGTGGGTAGGGGCGGGGCGGCGGAGGGTGGGGGAGTGGTTGTGTTGGAGGGGGCATGGCTGGGGGAGGAGGAGGAGGCGTAGGAGGGAAGGATGGCATATGGGTGGGTAGGGGCGGGGCAGCAGAGGGTGGGGGAGTGGTTGTGTTGGAGGGGGCGTGGGCGGGGGAGGAGGAAGAGGGGTAGGAGGGAAAGATGGTGTATGGGTGGGTAGGGGCGGGGTGGCAGAGGGAGGGGTGTGGTTTCCCTGGAGGGGGCGTGGTCTGGCCATGTGCGTGCGCCGGGCGGCTCACGCCGGGACGCCTCTGCACCTGCTCTGTTTGCTTCTGTGATTGTGAGTTTGTTGTAATGTTGTTTTGGATTGTGATGAGTGTTGTGCATACCTTGTGGTTTGAGGTATGTGTACAGCAAGTTTAGTGAGTTTTCGTCTGGGGTTTTTCGCGTTTTGCAGTCCCTAAGGACGCCCTTTTAGATTTTATATATATAGATTTATACATTATTTTAGTAGTTATACACTATTTAAAGTCTTTATAAATGTAAAATAAAGTGAAGGAAAGGAAAGGCTGGAGAGAGGGAGGACTGAGGAGGGAAAGCGCCTCGGAGAGCGGTGGCGGCAAAAACCCGCGAAACACCGAAAATACAATGATATATATTTTAAATTATTTTTTTTTAAAACCCACGAAACAATGAGTCTGCGTAAAGCAAACTACGAAACAGCGAGGGAACACTGTATTTTTTTCCCTAAGCATTGTCTTTTGTCCTTATTTGCATTTTTATTTTGCAGAGAGCTTCTGTTGCCAGAATGGGACTTCCTTCACAAGACTAGTAGGCTTGGGCGGTTTCGTTCGTTAATTTTGTAATTCGTTATTAATTCGTATTTAAATTAGCTTACGATCCAATATTGAGCCATGCAGGAATTGTGTGAGGAGTAAATTAGATTCGAAATAATTTTTTCAATTTATTTCGTAATTATTTCGTTATTATTTCATAATTATTTTCGCATGTCTGGTGAAAGTTTTATAGTTGTTGTTTGTTTTATCACACCAACAGTCAACAACAGAGGGAGAGGGAAGCTTCAGAAGTTCCTCCTGTCCCATTTGGAGGTTTTTTTTAGCATATTGCGCAATGAGAAAGAGCGAGAGAAGTGAGAGGTAGAAGGAGGGTTGAGTAGATGAGATAAGGAAGCTGAGGACGGCAGTCGTGGAGAGAACTTAGGAGAGGGCAAGGAAGTCTTCCGTGGACGAGGGAAGCTTCAGAAGTTCCTCCTGCCCCACTGTTTCAAGGGCAGTCCCACACTGACCACATTGCAGAAGTCCAGCCAGAAAGTGAGTTGGTGACTGTTTCAAGGGCAGCCCCACATTGACCACATTGCAGTAGTCCAGCCAGAAAGCGAGTTGCACAGACTGTGCCTTGGTGACTGTTTCAAGGACAGCCCCACATTGACCACACTGCAGTAGTCCAGCCAGAAAGTGAGTTGCACCAGCTGTGCCTTGGTGACTGTTTCAAGGGCAGCCCCAAATTGACCACACTGCAGTAGTCCAGCCAGAAAGTGAGTTGCGCCGGCTGTGCCTCGGTGAGTGTTTCAAGGGCAGCCCTACATTGACTACATTGCAGAAGTCCAGCCAGAAAGTGATTTCTTCAGGCTTTGCCTTGGTGACTGCTTCAAGGGCAGTCCCACATTGGCAACATTGCAGTAGTCCAGCTAGAAAATGAGTTGAACAGGCTGTGCCTTGGTGACTCTTTCAAGGGCAGCCCCAGAGTGACCACATTGCAGAAGTCCAGCCAGAAAGTGAGTTCTGCGGGCTGTGCCTTGGTGACCACTTCAAGGGCAGCCCCATATTGACCACATTGCAGAAGTCCAGCCAGAAAGCGATTTCTTCAGAAGTTCCCCCTGTCCCATTTGGAGGTTTTTTTAGCATATTGCGCAATCTCGTCCGCCATTAACGAATCGATTCGTAATTTTACGAAATTTTGTAAAAACGAAACGAGTTTAGAACCAAATTTTTCCATGGTTACCCAAGCCTAAAGGCTACTCACTAAGGGTGCATCTACACTTTGGAGTTAATGCAGATTGACGCAAAAACCCCCTAAAAACGAATTGAGTTTAGAAACAATTTTTTCCGTGGTTGCCCAGCCCTATAGGATAGATCTACATTGTTGAATTAATACAGTTTGATACCATTTTGACTTCCTGGGCTCAATGCTATGGCATCATGGGAGTTGTAAGTAAAATCTGGCCAAGAGAACTGGTGCCTCACCAAATGCAACTCCTAGGATTCCATAGCATTGAGCCCAGGAAGTCAAAATGGTATCAAACTGTATTAATTCAACAATGTAGATCTATCCTATAGGGCTGGGCAACCACGGAAAAATTTGTTTCTAAACTCAATTCGTTTTTAGGGGGTTTTTGCGTTTCGATTTTTAAAAGAATTCCAAAATTTTCCTTAAAATTTTTTCGATATTTATGAAATTTCGTAAATTACGAATCAATTACGAATCGGTTTCGAAACAATTACGAATCGATTCGTTAATGGCGGGCGTGATCTCGCAATACGCTAAAAAACCCTCCAAATGGGACAGGGGGAACTTCTGAAGCTTCCCTCTCCCTCTGTTGTTGACTGTTGGTGTGATAATTTATTTATTTTTTCACTGAGAAAACAAACAGCAACCCTAAAATTTGCACCAGACATGCGGAAATAATAACGAAACAATTTCGAATCTATTACGAATCGATTTCGAGACAATTACGAAACAATTACGAAACGAATTGAAAAAATTTGTTTCTTTTTTTAGTTGCTCCTGAATGGTTCAATATAGCATCGTTATAAAAAAATAACGAATTAATAACGAATTACGAAATTAACGGACGAAATCGCCCAGCCCTACTATCCTAGAACTCATGGAGACCAAGGTTTGGATCTCTGATAAGTCATGGGTGATTTTGAGCAAGTTCCATTCTCTCAACTCGAAAGAAATGAAGCAGGGATGACAACTTGTTTTGGTAGACCTGCTGGCATCCCCTGTTTTGGCCTGACTCCTTTTTGGGTTTTCCTCTCCCTTGTAGCTGTGCTCAAAGTGGGAACACGCGGCGGAACGGCCACCAACGCAAAATCAACCAGCAGGAAGAAAGCTGTCAGAACCTGACGGACTTCACCCCGGCCCGAGTGCCCAGCAACCTGGACATATTCACAGCCTACAACGAAACTCTCCAGTGCTCCCATGAGTGCGTGAGGACACCCGTGCCGATCTACACGGAGGAGACCATCCTCTCCCCGGGGGATTATAAGGCATCCTTCAATGGGAGCAGGTAAGGCGGAGGGCATCCCACCATGGCAATTTGAACCTCATGGCTGTTGGGGTCCCTCTGTGGATTTTGGTACCCAAACAGAGCCATTCCATGAAGGTTGAGGTCCATCCATTGATACTGGTACAAAAACAGCCATTTCATGAAGGTTGAGGTCCATCTGTTGATACTGGTCCCCAAACAGAGCCATTCCATGAAGGCTGAGGTTCATCCATGGAAACAGAGCCATTTCATGAAGGTTGAGGTCCATCCGTTGATACTGTTACCCAAACAGAGCCATTTCATGAAGACCGAGGTCCATCCATTGACACTGTTACCCAAACAGAGCCATTTCATGAAGACTGAGGTCCATCCATTGACACTGGAACCCCAACAGAGCCATTTCATGAAGATTGAGGTCCATCTGTTGATACTGGTCCCAAACAGAGCCATTTCATGAAGGTTGAGGCCCATCCATTGATACTGGTCCCAAACAGAGCCATTTCATGAAGGTTGAGGTCCATCCATTGATACTGGTCCCAAACAGAGCCATTTCATGAAGGTTGAGGCCCATCCATTGATACTGGTATGCAAACAGGGCCATTTCATGAAGGTTGAGGTCCATCCATTGATGCTGGTACACAAACAGAGCCATTTCATGAAGGTTAAGGTCAATCCATTGATACTAGTACTGAAATAGAGCCATTTCATGAAGGTTGAGGTCCATCCGTTGATACTAGTACCTAAACAGAGTCATTTCATGAAGGTTGAGGTCCATCCATTGATACTGGTACACAAACAGAGCCATTCCATGAAGGTTGAGGTGCATCCATTGATACTAGTACTGAAACAGAGCCATTTCATGAAGGCTGAGATCCATCCGTTGATACTGGTACCCAAACAGAGCCATTTCATGAAGGTTGAGGTCCATCTGTTGATACTGGTACCCAAACAGAGCCATTTCATGAAGGTTGAGGTCCATCCATTGATAGCAGTACCCAAACAGAGCCATTCCATGAAGGTTGAGGTCCATCAATTGATAGTGGTACCCAAACAGAGCCATTCCATGAAGGTTGAAGTCCATCTGTTGATACTAGTACCCAAACAGAGCCATTTCATGGATGATGAGAGCTCCTTCCATTTCATGGATTTTGAGGTCCAGCTCTTGGTATCCTTACCCAAACTGAACTGTTCCTCACCAATGGAAATGTAAGTATTGGCTTAATGGCTCGCATTTCTTTTTGAAGAACATCAACAGATGTCAACACTGAACAGGTTTTTTGGAATATTACGTGCGACCTAAAATTCTATCTCCTTCCACATCATGGTTGAACATGGTCATACCCATCTCTGTGTACATTTTTAGCAGTCATTTCAGTGAGGCATATATTGAATTTCTCAGCCCCAGAGCTACAATGTCTTTCCATGTGCATGCTCTATGTGAACACTGTCGAATTGTCTCCCAGCATGGTGTTGGTAATTATAACGGTGAGCCAACTGGATATGTCATGGTCAGTTGACCTAAAGACAGGTCTATTTTCAGTCTAAAGCCATAGCCTCATGGTAGAGATAGAATCCATAGATTCTCCTCACACTAAGATGTTTTTTCAGATGATAACACTAAACTGGATTATCGGATTTCTGGGGAATCCATAGGGAAAAGAAACTCATTTTCCCAGATTGAAGTGACATCACACTGAATATGGAAGGAAGCACAAACAATGTGCAGTTTGAAGTCCTCGCTGCATGCCTCTGGTGTCTGAATCGAAAAGTGGGATTATCAAAAGGCCGTTCCTTTGTCTAAACTGTTGCTAGGAGAGGAAGATGCTCGTATTTAGAATGACCATCTTTTCCAAATTCTGGGCATTTTAATTGGGCCAAGCAGTCGAGATCATATGGTCCATAGTCTACCACATTGGTTGCACTTTTCCCACAAACTTGTGCATCCTTCCTTTTCCCGTCGTGGTCAACTGTGAATACGCACATATGGTATTTCTGCGCCTGCGCAGAACAGCTTCGGAATCTTCTGATAAATTTGAAAACTTTGGCGGTTGGCCCCGCCCACTCTCCCCTCAAGAGTATATATAGCCCGTGGGGGGCTAACCACCTCTAGTTCTCAAGGTTCCCGAGTGGTCACCTGTGAATTCGCACAGCCCCGCCCATCCTCCCTGTTGTTGCCATGCCTCCTCCTTCTGGCTGCTATATGCGGCGGAAGAGAACTAGAGGCGGTTAGCCCCCCACGGGCTACATATACTGTTGTGGGAAGAGTGGGTGGGGCCAACCGCCAAAGTTTTCAAATTTATCAGAAGATTCCGAAGCTGTTCTGCGCAGGCGCAGAAATACCATATGTGCGAATTCACAGGTGGCCACTTGGAAAACTACGGTTACAGGTAAGCAACCTATATGTCATTCCTCAGACCAATGTAGCTTTGTCCACCCTTTCCCACCAACCATATTTCCATGGCTGGTTCCCATTTGTCATCACAACAACTTAAATTTTTAACCACTGGCTTTCAGAACATCTGAGGTTGTGCATAACCTGGATCTTACTTTTCTCTTATATATCGTATTTTCTGGCGGATAAAGGGACTTTTTAACCCTTGCAAATCTAATAGAAAGTTGGGGGTAGTCTTATACACCAGGTATAAAAATGGTGGTATAAAAAATGCCTCAGCGGGTGGCTCAGGGCTGCTGAGAGTTGTAGTCCGGAGGTGCTTCCTTGGGTCTAGGTGAGCCTGGTGGCCTTCGGAGGCTTCTGCCAGCCGATTGGATGGCCTTGCATTTTTTCTTTCTCCTGGCTGCCTGGAAATAGTGACGTGAGAGGATTTGGAGGAGGGCATTGAAATTAGAGTGGGGAGAGCTGTGGCGGGGGTGGGCCTGCCAAAGGCTACCAAGCTTGCCAAGGTCCAAGAAAGCACCTCTGGACTATGCCTCCTCCTCCTCCTCCTCCTCCCTTCTCAGGCCATGGCGCTAAGGAGGAGGGAGGGCGCGGGGAGGAGTGGCAGGCCCGCCAGACTCTCCCCACCGCTCTCCCCATTCTACTTTCAAGGCCCTTCTCCAACACCTCCAACGTTGCCATTTTCATGCAGCCAGGAGAAAGAGGAAAGGAGCAAGACCACCCGATCGGTCAGCAGAAGCCCCTGAAGGTCATCAGGCTTGCCTCGACCTAAGGAAGTCGTCAAGTGGCCTTGCTTTTTTCCTATCTCCTGGCTGCCTGGAAATAGCGACGTGGGAGTATTTGGAGAGGGGCATTGAAAGTAGAGCGGGGAGAGCGGTAGCGGTGGTGGGGACACCCTGGCAGGTCTGCCAAAGATAGGCTTGGGCGATCCAAGTCGTTAATTTTGTATTCCGTTATTATTTCGTTATTTTTTAATAATTAGAAGCGATATCGACGCGTTTCAGCAACCCGGAAGTGTTTTGCCCATATCGAAGCTTGCGTCCGCCATCTTCCTTACGATCCGTCAGTGAATCATAAATGCAGAGGGCATGACCTTGAGGAACAGCTGTTTCCCACCCCACCTCCTCCCTCTTTGCATCCGCCGGCTTTGCGAGGCTGGCTTTGCGAGGTGGGCGTGGCCTCCAGGAGGAGCCGGCGAGGCCACGCCCACCTCATCCCCCAGCCATCCCTCGCCCTTTGCTGGCAGCAAGGGCGGGGGAACTGTAAGATTGCTTTAGAAATCTTACAGTTCCCCTGCCCTTGCTGCCTGCAAAGGACGATGGATGGCTGGGGGATGAGGTGGGCGTGGCTACGCCAGGCTCTTCTTGACGGACACTGGGGGCCTGGCCGTCAAGAAGAGCCGGGCGTAGCCATGCCCACCTCAGTCCCCAGCCATTCATCACCCTTTGCAGGCACCCAGGGCAGGGAAACTGTAAGATTTTAAAAGCAATCTTACAGTTTCCCTGCTCTGGGTGCCTGCAAAGGGCGATGGCTGACAGGGGGATGAGGTGGGCGTGGCCTTCAGGAGGAGCTGGGCGAGGCCACGCCCACCTCATTAACAAATCGATTTGTAATTAACAAAATTTTGTAAATTTCGAATTTTTGAAATCGGAAATTTTGTACGTAAAAAAAAAAACCAAACACCAGTGCGCCCCAGAAACGAAACGAGTTTAGAACCAAATTTTTCCTTGATCGCCCAAGCCTAGCCAAAGGCCACCGAGCTCGCCTAGGTCCAAGAAAGCACCTCTGGACTATGCCTCCTCCTCCTCCTCCTCCCTTCTCAGGCCATGCCGCTAAGGAGGAGGGAGGGAGGGAGGGCATGGGGAGGAACGGCAGGCCCGCCGGGCTGTCCCTGCCGCTCTCCCCATTCTACTTTCAAGGCATTTCTCCAACTCCTCCAACGTTGCCATTTCTAGGCAGCCGGGAGAAAGAGGAAGGAAGCAAGACCACCCGATCAGCCAGCAGAAGCCTCTGAAGGCCACCAGACTTGCCTAGAAATTAAGGAAGCGGATCGGTGGCCTTCCTTCCTTCCTTTCTCTCCCGTCTGCCCTGAAATGGCGACGTTGGAGGAGTTGGAGAAGGGCCTTGCAAGTAGAACAGGGAGAGCGGCGGGGATTGCGGGGACAGCTCAGCAGACCTACTGCTCCTCCTCCCTACACCTTCCATCCTCCTTCCTTCCTCCTCCTCAGGCTACGCTCTAAGGGACTTGACTTCACCACAGCTGCTGCTTTCAAGGCCCTCCAAATCCTCCCACGTCACTATTTCCAGGCAGCTGGGAGAGAGAGGAAGAAAGCAAGGCCACCCCATCAGCCGGCAGAAGCTTCTGAAGGCCATCGGGCCCACTTAGGCCCAAGAAAACACCTCCAGACTACGACTCCCAGCAGCCCGGGCAGAGGCGTGTCTTGGACATGCCCGCTGAGGCATTCTGGGAGTCGTAGTTACCAAATCAATGGAATTGTGTTGGAAGAAAAGTGGTCTTATATGGCGAGTATATCCCTAACTCTGTATTTTAACTTGAAAAGTTGGGGGGTCATCTTATACGCCCAGTTGTCTTGTACCCCGGAAAATACGGTATATGTATATATTT